TCGGAAGTCACATTTAAACTTACCACGAGTGATTGGGCGAGGTCTGTGTGACCTTAGCTCAAGGAGAATACGGTGAGGACTATGTGTCCGGGACTGGGTATCCTCGAGTTTAAATACTCAGCCGCTCCAACCAAATGTACAACTGAGACAGCAGTTGGAACTAGTCTACCAAATCATTGTCTTCACCAAGCTAACTGGTTCTATTTCCTCAACTCTTTCATTTCCTCATGTATGTTGTTGTGTGCCTGTTCATATCTGTTTGAAGACTTTTGACTGAAGATTTTCTCAATTTCCTCAGTTCAATTTCTTCAGTCTGTCTGTCTTCATCTTGTGTTATCCTGTGTTTACGCTTTCTATACTCTGTGCTTGTTTTCATTTCATCATCATGACTGTGTTTGTGTTTTGTTATGTTCCTTTCTGAGTACTTATTCCGCTACAAGTAGTTCTTCATTTAGGAATTTCCTCATCAGCAAATTCCTCAGTGAAGAATTCATAAAAATCGTCTATTCACCCCCCTCTAGTCGATATAATGCACTTTCAGAATGATACTCCCTCCGTTTGTTTTTAGTCTGCATATAAGATTTGGTCAAAGTTAAACTTTGTAACTTTGACTAAGTTTATAAAAAAATTATCAAGATTCATAATATGAAATCAATATTGTTAGATGCATCAAGAAATTAATTTTCATATCATATAAATTTAATATTGTAGATGTTGATACTTTTTCTACAAAGTTGGTCAAACTTTATGTAGTTTGACTTTGACCAAATCTTATATGCAGACTAAATAGAAATAGAGGGAGTACTTATTTTTGGACAGAGGGAGTACCTATGTTTTTGGGTACTAGAGAATTGGTGATGCAAGCCCAAGAAAGCAACTATTAACTGAAGATCATTTTACCAGAGGAATTGATTGATGTGATGGTCATGAAATTTATTGAAAAAGTAAAAGAAGATAGTTGGTCCTCTGTTGAGTGGCCCAGGATGTACACTAACCATTCCTTCTCAAAGCTTGTTGTTAAGACTTTTACAACATTGCAAGGAGCCTTTTGGACAAGCCTGAATCCAAAGAGATTTACTAGAGGACAACTTTGAGAAGAAAGAGGAGGGGCAGAGATGAATCTATCAGAGAGAGAGAGAGAGAGAGAGAGAGAGAGAGTAGTATCTATACCCCACTATACAGTGTGTGAATAACTTTGAAAGTTGGTCGTTGGATGGAGCCAATCCGACGGTGCAGAGATGGCAAATTCGAGCACTACTGGCCGTTGGATATCATGTAGATTCCACCAGATTCAGCCACATGTATAATCTAGAAGACTCCATGGTTGAACTTAAGCATAATGCACAAAGCTCAAAACACAAGCATTTTTTCTTTGTTCTAGAATCTTTCGTATCATAATGTCCAAATTTTTTTTCTAAATGAATTGCTATTATTTGTTTTTGCTTGATGCTTTACAATGCATAATTCTATGAATCTTAAAATAGATTAACTTTTTTATAAAACTAATTTATTTTGAATGAGATGAACTATAAAAATTAAACGAACATCAACATCATGCATATATGACTCAAACCTTACATGCTATAGTGTGGTATTTATTCATAATTTACTTGCCAAATCTCATGCGTGTAATGTACGCGTACCTGACAAGTAAACTATAGAACACAGATGTCACGCCATAGCCGTACCCAACAACAATTGAGTTGGATCGGCGTCGCCGCTATGGATCTTTCAAGAGTCTTCGCATGGTCCTGGCTTGCCATGCGAAAGAACTAATTCAGTTCGTACCGATGTTAGCTAGTCAGAATTTATAGTATTTCGGAGAAAAACAGACACACGCAGACGCTTATGAGTATAACGCACACTGACAATCGATCGAGCGCGTCGCACATGCAACTCCATGCACGGAGAAATTCCTTGGCCGTGGTGCAGCAATTGTGATGAACGCGGAAAGCCACTTTTACACTAGAAGAACAGAACAAAACAGGAGCAACTGCCAAAACTGGAAATGTGGAATCGTCCCGGCAGGAAAAGGAAGTGTGGAATCAGTTGCAGTCAAATAAACGTTCACCGGTGCAACGACAAATACTTGACGACCACGACCAGTACAATATGTTCGTGTCCAACGGCATCGGACATGGATTGCGTCTGCGTCCCACCGCGCACCAACTTATACTTAGCTTGCTCCCCAGGTAGCCCGAACGCGGTTGGACGGAAGCTTAATTAATTATTGTAGCTGTGGAGATACGTAAGACGAAATGAGTGTACATGAAGCTAGGTTTCGACTATGGATACCTAACTTTTTTTTACTGTGCGTGCTAGTGTATACACTACCCAAGTTTGAAAGATCCTGCGCGATTAAAGATCTTTTCACGAACTCTAGAAGATTTCAGATCGCTTCTATCCACACGCGGACTATTTTATTCTTTCCCGTTAACGGGTTGACCACTGAATCTGATTACGTCTACAGTGAGGGAGATCATCAATAAGGATCAATCGTAATTTGATTACGTTCTGATTCACTTTAACAAACAATATGCGCAGTGAAGAGTGGCCGTAGTTTCTCAATCAATCCTACTGCGGACGGTATCCCCCATAGGAAGAAAAAAGAAAAGGGATTGGTCATCACTAGGTAGGTCACGGTAGATCACCTAACCTTTTCTCTGTAAAAAATGTTAATTATTATGGATCAGAGGAAGTATCAAACTTTTCTTTAGTACTCCCTTCCTTGTGAACAGAACTTATCTACGGATGCCATGAAGTACTAGTGTGCGTAACGCAGTCAGTAGAAACTACCGGACTACCACTGGAAGAACAAAAGGGACCCACGACCCGCTCCCGTCCCCGCAGCCCTAGCCTCCGCCGCCTCCCCCTATCCGTCGCCGGCGG